AGCACAGGCTTTTCTGAGGTGAATGGAGAACCTGGCTCCCTTCTCCCAGCTCCCCCAGCATCCATGGTTGTGTTGTGGAGAAGGAAGGGTGGGTGTGGGAGAAGCAGCTGTGGGAAGCCCCTGTGGGCAGCGTGTTTGGAGCTGTGGGGCAGTGCTGCTGTCACTCTCCACCAAGGACACTGTGGTTCTTGGAGGTTTTTTGTTGTTTTGGGGTTTTTAAGGAGGAAAACTAGTCCCACTGGGGTCTGAAAAGAGCAGCACAGTCCGTGTGAGAAATCTGAGAAGCGCTATTGGCAATAACAGATCTGGGCCCTTCCAAAACAGACGCTATTAACATTTGTGCCAAAGCAAAAAAAAACTAAGCTGGAGTCAGCTGGCCAAGCGTTACTGCCTTGGGAATTGGCAACTGTGGAAAGGCTGAGGATGGAGGATTCCCTTCTTCCTCCCTTTGCCACCTAATCTCATTGGAAATTACTACAGGAAAAGACCTCAGACTTGAAAATCCTGAGCAAATGCCAGGGGAGCAAAGAGAAATGGCATCGAAGGTGCTGGTGTGGCTGCTCCACGTGGGGCAGCTTTGGGAGGAACACCAGAGACAGGGCTGGCCCAGGGGAGATGCTGGGATGAGGGAGGACAGCGCTCCTGAAGAGGATGTGATGGAGATGAAGGGGGTTTAAGGGCATCTGCATATATTTATATGTGCAAACCTGCCTCAGGTATCTTTCTCATCCATCCATGTAACAGGTCTGGCACATGGACTTCTCCCCTTATGGATACCAATGTCTGAGGAAGAAGTTACCCCTTCCCAGCCATCCATTAGTTACACACAACTCCACCAGATATTCTGATTAACTCCAAGTTCTGAATCAGCTCACAGATCCTACTGGCCCTGCACTGCCTGGCAAGCAAAGTACTCAGGATTACCCAAGCATGAGCCTGGGAGCTGGGCAGGGGTTTATCTCAGTGCTGCTCCATGACATAACCTGGTGTAGTGGAAGGTGTCCTTGCCCATGGCAGGGGGTTGGAACTAGGTGGTCTTTAATGTCCCTTCTAACCCAAACCATTCTGTGATTCTGTGATACTTCAAGTCCTGTAGCCCCACTGTAACTGATGGTATTGTTGTCTACACAGTGCAGTAAAATGCAAGCTTTTTATATCTGGATTAAGTGTGTGGCCTTAGCTGTGATTGCCTGTGCCTTCTGGGAGCAGAGTCTCATTCCTGCTTCGCTGGGCTGAGACACAGATTATGCCCAGGCCTGAAATATTTAACCCTACACAGGAAGAAACGTGGGGTGCAGGAGCTGGCTGGTCCTACCTTACAGCACTGGACCATCTCCTGGGCACTGAACTGCAGCGTCCTGTCTCTGCTCTCCTTGAGGACTTCACACAACTCTTCCTTCTGTGTGGGTGGGTTCAAGCTGCTACAACCAGCCTGGGGAAAATCCCCAGAAAACCTGGCAAAGCTGCAGACTCCCACTTCTGTGAAGAGAGGTGAGTAGAAGTTAGGCATCTGCTCTCTTATGGCTGTCTCACCTTAGGCAGCATGAAAATACAGCTGTTGTAGCACAGCCCAGTTGAGCACACAGGGTGTGATGAGACCCCCTTCCCAAAAGGTCCAAAAGGTTTGCAGCACCTTGGTTACCTTTGTCTGGATCAGGAACCCCAAATCCCTTAGTTTTAAATTGGGAAAACCTAGTTCCTCTTATCAGGGATTGAATAACATGTTAAGGATGAGATTTGGCTATTCCAGCCTCCCAGGGAAGGTTTTTGGTACAGTGCTGCCTTATTCATATGCAGTGCAAGACCATCATGGCATACCAATCCCACCTTGTCCTGGCAGAAATTTGCTGAATGTGAAGCTCCAGGTCTCACATGGATAAAGATCCAGCAGAGTAAGTCCAAGGACACACAGGGCATCCATGGGCTTGTTGTTCTTCAGGAAATTCAGGATCCCATCTGGAAAAATACCAGAGAGACATTCATTAAAATGAAGCGTCCCTGGAAGGCACCTAAGAGCCAGAAGTTCTGCTGGTTGTGGGGAGGAGGATGTAATCCAAGCCACAGGCAGACAGAGCTGCTCCATTCATTATCTCAGATGGAGAACCACAGCTGTGGAGCCCATCCCCTGAAATCAGAGCAGACCTGACTTTGGAAGTGGTGCTGAGCACGGAGTTAAAACAAAGCAGAGCTAAGGGCAGGGATGTAGGTGAATTCGGTACTAACCCATGGAAATATGCACCTGGGAGCAGAATTTCCCATTTCAGAAGGGAGCTGGAACAGCCACATGGCTGCAGTGCTGGGCTGGGCTGAGCATGTGCTGCCCGTGGTACCTGCAAACAGCTCGTTCCAGGGGGATGTTTGTGCAGCAGGAGTTTGGCAGGTGGAAAACCTGTTTCCCCAGGGAGCTGTGACACTTGAACCCAAGTTTCCTAACATGAAAGGCCAGTGAGTTCCCCACCTACACCACCCAGGCCAATCATTTACTTTGGCTCGAGGCAAGAGATGGGAGAACTCAGACTACACCAAACCAACAGTGCCTTCCCTTGGAGCTGATCCGATCGCTCTGCAGAGCTGGACCTAAACGTAATAGCACCGAAAAATACAAACAGCAGAGGAAAATATGATGAAAGTCACTTTGTTTTTCATTCCTATTTCCAACCTCAAAGCTCTGGGCTTTCCACGGGAACAGGATTTCTCCCTTTTCACTCCCTTCCTCATCCCCTCCCTGCTCTGGCAATGAAGGGCTGTTTCAGGCATTTCCTAAGGGAGGGCTCGTGCCCCTGTGCCAAGCTGGTGCCTTTATGGGCTCCCTGGTGCCAGGTCCTCACCTGCGTGGAGCTGCACCCTGTCGGAGTCCCGGCTGTGGCGGAAGCAGCAGTGAATGGAAGAGACGGGGATGGAGGGAAGGCACTTCACACGGAGACCCAGGAAGAAAGACTCGACACAGCTCTGGAGGGAATCCAGCAGCGAGAGCCCAGCAGGCCCTTCGATTAAGTCTGAGAAGAGAAGCTCTGTTATCAGCCCCTGAAAGGCAGGGTGAACCACAGGGTCTGAAGGGACTCTGTGGGACTGGCCACAGCCACTGGGGAGGAGGCAGGCTGGGTCATTCTGGAGTTAATTGCTCATTCTGGGATGTGGCAGACACCTCTAGATGGTTATGGATATAGAGGAGAAGAGGGAGCTCTTCCTGAGAGGTGACTTGAGGCATTAGTACGCTCTCATTAGCAGAGCAGATATCTAGGAAGGTTGTCTCTTGTTTAAGTTATGCAGAAAGGTAAATGTGGGAATGGGTCGCTGTGTTTAATGAACCATCAGGGATGGACCTCCGGAAATGCTGTATCTTCCAGCATTGTTTCATAGTTAGATATGTATATGTATATATATATATATATATGCATAAATTCATAGCAAGTCTCACCCAGGGGCACATATACCATTTATTTGGCAGGTCTACCCATGGTTGTCATCACGGCTTGTGACCCTGGACTGGGGGCATGTCAGAGCCTTTGCTACCACACTTATCTTCACTGGGGCGATTGCATTTTGCAGGTTAGTCCTTAGAAGAGGGTATTAGCAGCACTCAGCACCACCCACCTCCCTCCTCGGTGGCTCAGTGCAGATGCCCACGTTACCTATAGGCTGCAGGTAGATGTGCTTTCGGTAGAAGTTCTGCTTCCTCCTCAGCATGGCGTGGTAGAAGGTCTCGAAGTCCTCGGGGGCATCGGGGTGGCTGAGGATCCAGTCGAAGGCCGTGCGGATGAGCAGCGAGCAGAACAGCGTCCTCTGGGGGTTGTAGGCCTCGGAGAGGAACAGCTTCTCCGCCCTGGAGAAGGCCTTGGCATAGAGCTCCTGCAGGGCGGGGTTGGTGGAGATCAGTGCGTCCTTCAGCGCGCGGGGCCCGAAGCTGAACTCCTGGGCGTGTTTGCACTGCAGCATCGCGGAGGGACCGTGGCACTGCCTGAGGGAGGGGACATTGCCGTCAGCCGTGGCCTCCTGAGGGACCTGCACACCTCCTCTGCTCTCACAGCAGTTCCCCCAACACCCCAGCTGCAAGGGAGCTTATCAGCACTGTGCTGGCCTGGAGCCCTGCACTTTGAGCAGCTCTTACAGGGTTCTCTACGTGTGTGTGCAGACACCAGCTCATGGACCCTGTGCCAGTAGATGGTGCTCAAGAATGCACAGCCCCAGGTTGCTGCCAGATATCTGGAGTAAATCAGATGGTTTGATTGGTGTTTGGGGTTGGTTGATGGGGATTTGGGGTTTTTTTGGTGCTCTATCCTGGAGGCCCAACAGGATGGGAAATACCTCTGGGTGTTGTGCAACTGGTTGCACTGGACCTCACAGGATGTGGGAAGGTGGTGCTCCTTTTTGCTTGGGCTAAACCACATCCCTTGGAATAGGTCCACGTCAGGAACGAAGAGGTCACTTGTCCTTTATCTGTCCATCAGAAGCCTGCACTTCTGACTTACCTGACACCAGTGAAAGCAGCTGTTCACTGCTGATGATTTCCTCTAACAGCTTTTAATCTCAGATATTAACCTCGGGCACCTTCTGGCTCGCAGTGCTGTTGTGAGGCTGCAGGATTTGGGAAGGTTTGGCCAGCCTGACCTGCAGGTGGGACTTGGTGTGTGAGATTCCTGTGTGCTGGTGCTGCCTCTCTAGCAAGACACATACGGGCCCGCTGCCATCATGTCACTTCATGAATAGCTTCATGTCACACCGTGTTAGCATCAGCAGGGCTGGGGATGATGTAAAGCAGCAAATAAAGAGCAAATGAAAGCCTGCAGCACAAAGAAATTAATTCAGAGCATCCCAGAAATATCCTCTCCAGGGTCCTTTCTAAGGCTGGTGTTCTCCAAAGCTGCGAGTCAAGCACCTATTTTCCACTGCATTTTATGCACTTATGGAAATTCCAGTTGGCAGCTTGGGGAAAGGGAAGAAAAAGAGGCAACACTACCTCTTTGACTAACCTATGTCTGAATTTTTCCAAAGGCAGTAATTGGTCATTCCAAGCAGAACTGGAGTATTTTGGAGCAGTACTTCAGGCAACGTTGCCTACCACAGGTAAGTGTTCCACCTGCACTCAGCAGAATGAAAAACACACAGGTGTATGTGCACAAAAGCACAAGGTTTCTAGGAATAAGTGTTATCTTCTTCTAGGCAAGTTAATAGTAACTTAAAAGGAGCCAAACAAGATTTCTGGGTGGATACCAAATGCATCAACTGCTGACCATCACTGCTAAAACACCAGCATTCAACTGAAAAAAAAGGGATTAAATATTTCAAGGAGGAACTGGTTAAGTCTATGATTTAAGTAGGTCTGCAGCTTAGCTCTGCCAGGTGAGTGGCATTCAGTGGCCCTTGAGGACAGCAGTATAATTAAGAAAATTCAACATTTAAAAAAATAGTACCGCCATGAGCCATACCTCAGTTATGCAGAGGTAGTTTGCACTGTAAGAGGAAGGTGGCAGCCCATTAAAATTAACACTGAATTCCTTCACATCTAACCCTTGGGAAGAGAAGTGTATGTATTAGCAGTCCTTAAAAGGACTCGTTTTGTGTGATCTTTTTGTCTCTAAGGGTGTGTAGCCCAGAGAGGGAGCAGGAAAGCAGTTTTCTTTCGTTTTTGCAAGCTTTGTATTTCGCTCACATTAAAGGCTGACAGCAGATGGCACAGGGGGATCTGAAGTGGTACAAGGGCCCTAATCCAGGGAAAGTTTAGAAATCAAACCTGAGATGCTTTCTCAGACGCCTCTTTTTACTTCCCAGAAAAATGTACAAATTGCTCCTGCTGGTTTTTACAGGCAGCAGCAAGAGTTTGTGTGAGGTTGTTCTGTGTTTTGTCACCCAAATCTCTGCTCCTCTGACTTGCTTCCAGATTTGGGAGACAGAAGTGAGAGTCTGACCCCACCAGGTCATCAGGAGTTTTGCCTTGGGCAAGATGAAGATTTCCCTAAGGGACAAGATTTCACTTGTTCTGCACAAACTTTAAATACAAGCATCATTTTCCTGGTCATATGCAGAACTTTCACTGGGAAACTGTTAGCAATATTCAGCTCCCTGAGGATGTGATCCTGTGAGCTCCTGCCTGCCTGGTGCTCTCAGGGAAATAAAGGAAAGACTTTGCACTTGGTCCAGGTTGAGAGTGGTCTGGTCAAAGGGGGTTTCTGGAGCCTCTTTCATGGGTGTTTTGGGCGACAACTGGAGTGTGGGTCTGGGGAGGAGGAGCTGGTTAGAAAATGAATGGGTTTTTCTCTGCTGAATGGGAAGCAGCGAGGAGTGGATGTATGTGACAGCAAACACAATGAGTGCACAGTCTTGTAGCATGTGTTCCCCCCAGGCTCTCTCGTGGAATACAGAGTGAGCCCAAAGCTATGGGATATACATTGTTTCCCAGGACTCCCTAAAAGGGGATATTCACCCAGCTCCAGACATTCCCAGCTATGCCCATGGGTGTTTTGTGACGTTCACCATGCCCAAGGATGCCCATGGTGACGCTTCAGTGACTTGAAAGCTCAAGCATAGGAATTCACTTGCAGGAATTCAGTCTGGAGTGACATGTGCCTCCTTCTCCTGGAGTGTCTGGGTTTGCTTCTCGAAGAATAGCAGCAACCCACTACACTCTCCAAATCCAGCACAATTACTTCTCTTTAGCAAGCTTTTCTAAAATACTTTACTGGAGAAAATGAATGCTTCAGAAAATGTTTATGGGCAACTTCAGCAGTTGAAAAAAGAATCCATTTTACAACATTAACTGTAGTAGATATTATTTGTGCTTGATCTAATATATGGATATGGTGTTTCATTACCTGAATAGTTCAATAGGGCTTTGTAATTTTTAGCTCTTTTGTCGAGAGTGCCTGGTTTAACTCCATGCTGCAGTGCTTCAGGAGGGAATGGCACTTAAGCTTGGATATTTCCCCCTTTCTCCTCAGTTTTTTAGATGCCAAGGTGGGGCTCAAGAAATGGAAGCACCAGTGCATCCTTCTGCCCTTCGGGTATTTAGGAAGGAGACATCATGCCTTTAAAGTAAAAAGCAGTTAATTTGGCTTCTTGTTCAATGACAAACTGTAGGACCTGACTAAAGAGTCCTGGGAAGGAGAAAGTAACTCTTTTTATTTAAAAAGCCAATAATTTGGAGTTGCACTTGAGAAAATACTTTAAACAAGATAGGCACCCACAGGCTCCCAACAGGGCAGAGAAGGAGCCAGCTGGGAATCCTTATCCAGTTTGTGGAGACTCTTTTTTTTTTTTCCCTGTTTCAGGTTGTTCATCATCACATCCATGCAGTGCAGTGGAACCACACACAGCTCAAAGGTTTGGGTACTTAGCTGTTTGTCTGCTGGGAACAGCCTTTTCCCATGATTATGTTGTAGGATCCCAGTTGTGGCCTTTCTGCTTGTGGGGTGGGATATGAGGCAGGAGCTCCAAGGACAACATGCTCTGTGTGTCTGGCTTTCAGTACCATACAAGAGGTTTCAGCTCAGATTGGGCATATTGCACAAATCTGTTTACCATGGAATTTGACACATATTTTTTTCCACAGTGAGTGTTCTCACACAAAATGCCCCAAAATCCGGGCTCAGCACGTGACAGCTGAGCAGTCAGTACACTCCCTTTCCCACAGTAACCTGTTAATGTGCTTCATGTGCAATTCAGGTTACTCATAAATTATTCTCTTTGCAAATCAGACACATATAAATTATTCTCTGTAATTGAAAATTAGCTATGAATTATTCTTTTTGTAATTTCCAGATATGTCATTTATTCTCTAATATATTGACATTGCTTTCTTGGATAGATATGCCTGGGGCTGACAGTAACAGGGAAATTCTCAAAGGCCGAGGCAATACATACAGTGCAAGTATTTGGGATATTCTGACAAGACAGAAAGGGTCTTGTGTGCAGAAATTCTGTGTTGTACAGGTCCAGAAAGGGCACTCAGTGCATAATGGATTTATTTGGTATTGTATGGAATTTGGCCCTAACATTGTAGAGATGGTATTTGTGTATTTTTTTCTGTTGGTTTGTTTTGTTTGTTTTTAAGCTGGTCATTCTAAAGTTGTTTATTTTACAAGTCAGCCTGTAAGTAATTTCTACGTCTGACTCTCCCAGGCTGCAGATGCACAGAAGGAGATTCCCTCAGTTCCATCTCGGCTCTTTTGAAGTATTTGGAGGCAGACTGTCTTAACTGGGCTCTTTGGGTGTCAGAGGGATGTTAGTGGAGTCTCTTAAAACTGATTAATTGCCTTCATTAGGAGCTGTACTGTAAACAAGCAGTGATAGTGCAGAAAATTCATCGCCAGTCAACAGAAATGAAAAGCCCAGAGCAAACATAACAAGCGATAACTAATTATCAACACATGCCCTAGTTGCTTAATAGCTCTTTCCCTGAGATTTGCAGTTGGTGTCTGTAAGTGCTGCTCGAGGATCAGCCCCTCCTTGCCTGTGCTTCCCAGTATCACACTGATGACAGCCTGAAAGCAATTTTCTCAATGTATTTGTTAACACATACAGAAAGAGATTTTTCTTGACTGAGAAGCTCAGTCCAAGTAAAATTCTGACTGGTCCAGCTCCTTCCTTGAGGAGCTCGACACAGCCCCTTGCACCGAGCCAGGCTTTGCCTGCCGAGCTCGCTCAGCTGCTGGGGTCAGACCAACTCTGTTTGGCCGTGTTCAGACCTGAAATGGAGGCAATTTCGAGATGATCAGCACTTCTCAGAATCAATCCCCTCTGCTCACAGAGAAAATACACTCTGGACCTGATCAACCCTGTACTTGTATCCACATAGAACTGTAGCATCCTCTGTTCACTTTGCATTAAACAGCCACAAAACACCGAGTCAGATCTGTGTGTGTTCCACACCATAAAGTCAGATAAAGCCTTCTGGCCTCACCTACTGCCAGATCCCAATAATATTTACTTGTAATATCTCTAGAATATGTTTGTGACTTGGAAACAGATGGTATGTGTGGTCTCTCTCAGAAAAAGTCATTCCTGGTGCTGTGGAAACCTTCAGGGATTCAAACATGCATTCATTAGGAAGAGAATCTACCTGTCCTACTGGAACTGTGATCGACATGTTATTGCCACAAGGCTCAGTCCTGAAAGTTTGTCCTCCCATGAATCTGCCTTATAAATTAACTTGGACTGCTGGACAAGTCAGATGGACAACTCGCCAGTATGCAAAAAAGGTTTGCAAGATGAAAGACTAGAGTTGCTTCCATCCATCCTTATTTAAGGAGACAGATGCTTCCATCCATCCTTATTTAAATATTCTTATTTAAGTGTTCTTAAGTACTTAAGAACACATACACATCCACTTTGCCCTTGATTTTGTTTTATGTGAGAGCCTGCTCTCTCAATACTCTGTTCTTCATTTTAATATGTATTGAGGACATACATTATCCTTAGTTCCAGTCTTCTCTTCTAAGGATTTTATTTATTCTATGCTCGTATATAGTGCTACTCTTTTTTTCAGTCCCTGCCATTTGAGGCTCTCTAAGTGTCATACAAGCATTCATGAACTTCTCTGTGCTACCCTCAAGAAAGCAAGCTGGCAGTATATGGCTTTCCCCCTCACCACCCATTTATTCATCATTTTCAGTGCCTTCTCTGCTCATTTTAGTCTGGTTAAACTGCCTGTGATGCTTTCTCCCATGCACGTGTGATGAAGGGCTGGCTGCATTCTCCTTCCCTTGCTCTGACATGGAACAAACCCCCCCAGTCCATGGCTGTTTGCTGTGCACTTGCCAACCCAAAAGCACCGAGCAGCATCTATCAGAGCTGTACAACAAACGCAGCACTGCAGAGATACCCGAGCTCTAATCACTCACAGCTCCAGGCACTTTGCTCTTCATCATATTTGTCTAGACAGACTAAATGGTCTCTGTGAGACAACCCCGGTGTTAGCCGGGAGAGAGGCTGCATTTTCCAGGTACGGCTAAGGGGAGGTGGTTCCTGGAGCACAGGCGTTATAAAAGTGGTTCATCACACGGTACAAAAGCGCTGGAAGGCTGTGCCTCCTCCCAGCATCGAGTGCTTTTTAAGTGGTGCCGCCGGGTAGGGGGTGTTTGTGGGCGTTTCACAGCCAAGGAGAAGGAGGGGGCTCCAGGGTGTTACTGCGACCAGCGCGGCTGTGGGTGACAATGACAGACCCCAATCCTGAGCCTTCATAGGGGCTGTGCCCTGACCACCAGCCAGCTCTGCCAGCCAGAGGTTTGCTGGGCACGAGGCATGTTCTGGAAGCGCTGCAAAAGCAGGTGCTGCTCCTGGGACACCTGAGCGCCCGTGATATGGAAAAGGGACTGTTGATGCTGATCCCCGGTGCAGGAATCGCACGGATGGGTGTGCAGGGAAGGAATAAGTCCCTCAGCACCTTGGGACGATGCATCGAGCACAATCCCCAGCACGGCGGGACAGGATGCCCCGAGCTCAGCCCCTGGCACCCCAAACCCCCAGGAGGGTGCACCAAGGGCAGCCCCGGCAACCCAGGAGAGGGTGAGAGGAGAGTGCCCAGGCAGGACCCCTGGAGCCCGTGGGGGTGATGCCCGGAGCGCAGCCCCCAGCCCCCGGCGGGAGATGCGCCGAGCGCGGCCACCAGCCCCCGGCGGGAGATGCCCTGAGCGTGACCCGCCGCCACCGAGGGAGGATGCCCCGAGCACGGCCACCATCGCCCTTACAGTCATGCCCGTCACGGGCGGAGCGATGCCCATCACCCCGGGAGCTGCCCCGAGCCCGAACCACCCTCAACCCCGGAGCGATGCCCATCACACGGGGGATGCCCCAGCCCGCACTCACCCCTCCAGGGGGGTCCCGCCGCATCCAGGGGCCGCCGCGGACTCCCGTACCCTCCCCTCCATAGAGGTGACCACGACCCCCCCCGATGTGCCCAAGGGGCCAGGACAGGACTCACCGCCCCGCCGGGCCGGGGCTGCGGAGGCCGGGAGGTGCGGCAGGGCCGGGGCACCCGGCGCGGGGCTGGCGAGGCGGAGCGGAGCCCGGCGGCGGCAGGAGGAGCGCGCAGGAGGAGACGAGAGGAGGAGGAGGAGGAGGGAGAGAAAAGGGGAGCAAAGGGGGGCTTCGCGCCGGGAGCCGGCGGGATTCGCCGAGCGGCCGCTCAGAGCCGCCTCCTGCGGGTGCGCGGGGCAACCACGCGGGGGCGGCGGGGAGGGGGGGCGGCCGGGCCGGGCACGGAGCGGGGGGTCACCGGGAAAGGAGGGACACGGGGAAAGGAGTGACACCGGGAAAGGAGGGACACGGGGAAAGGAGGGACACCGGGAAAGGAGGGACACCGGGAAAGGAGGGACACGGGGAAAGGAGGGACACCGGGAAAGGAGGGACACGGGGTGCGGGAGGCAGGACCCTTGGGGCGAGGGGCGGGACGCGTCCCGGGAGCGGCGGGTCCGCCCGGCCGCTGGAGCTGGAGAGGAGCGGGAGCGCAGTCAGCCCTCGTTTGGGGAAGCGCGTTCCCGCAAGAGCCCGGGGCTGAGCAGCGCGGCGGTGCCGGGGGGTGGAAACCCTTTAATCTCTGCTCTAATGAGAGCTGGGCGAGGAGCGGGTGTCTGGAGACCGGTTTTGCCGGCGGCTGGTGCCATCCCCGCCCTGGGAGCCGTGTTTGCATTCGCCTTGATGCCTTGTTCAGAGCATCGCTCCCACATGACCTGGATGCATTTCTGCGTCCCACGATGTCCTTTAATTTGGGAATATTATCTGTTCTTGTAAAGGTTAATTAAAATAAAGGAGTGGATCTCTCTTCCCATTTCTTCATGGCTTCATTTATTCTGCCTTTCATGTTTTGATCCCTTGAGTGCTTTGATCCCTCATTTCTGCCATCCTTAGATGGAAGGAAAAAGGAATACCCTGCCTGGGTATTCCTGGGTAAGTGTGTCCCTAAGTGACATAAACTGAAATTAGGGGAAAAAAACATGTTTTACAGGCTCAGGAGCTGTAGTGCCCAAATGGCATTGGCACACCTGGCACAACCACAGGCTTTGCAAGGGCCAGCAGAACATCCCATTGGAGCCAAGGTGGCCATGGAAGTGCACAGATGCCCATGTGCTGTGCTGCAGGGTTAGCAAGCACCAGGATAAGACCATCCCTGCGTGCTGCAGCCTGTGTTCCCAGGGCCTGCATTGCTCTCAAGGCACTGACAGCATCACTGGTGAAAAACTGCCCTAATTTGCTGCTCTTGTAATCAGGCCGAGGCGAAGCAGCAGCTTCTCCTGGCAGCAGCAGCTGCTCATGAATCCTCCTTGTGGGAAACCTTCCCAAGATTCAGCGTGTGGGGAGGGCAGGAGAGAGTCCTAAGGCCTTGGAATAGCATCCTCTTCCACTTCAGCTGCTACCCCAAGCACAGGAGATGTCCTCTGTGCTGTTTTAATTGGTTGCTGCTTGTAATTAGAGTTTATTTGTATTAATTAACTTCAATTATCTGTTTGTGAGTTGCTCCAAGTACACCATCAACATGTTTAGAACCACACAGCCTCAAGGAGCCAGCTCCTACCTGAGGAAGCTGTGAGCTAAAACCAGACACACTGATAGAGTGTGCTCCAAAAATGCATCATTTTTTTGTTAAGAAACCTATTGTGTAAACTTAATCATTAATAGTTGGCTTAGCTGCCAGCCCACTGACTGACCAGCACAGGTAAACAGGACTACTGTTATTAAATATTCTCATAATGATTCATTTTTCCTGGGAAGGCACAGGAGGAGCTGGGTAGTCCTTGCCCAGGAGAGTTGGCAGTGAGGGAGATGGAGGCAGGGACAGAGAGTGAAGACGAAACAGCCACACAGTCACTCTCTGACTTTTTAGGAGGCAAGTGGTTTTATTAAGAGAAGATCAGCAGAAGGGGGAGGGAAAAGGGAGCAGGAAGGGTCAAAAATTGGATGAGAAGACAACCAGGAGTTAGAGAGGGCAGACACACAGTGAATTGGAGTGGTGGGGATTTGGGGCTATGGAGGGAGTGAAAGGACACCAGGACAGCCACGCTCAGAATTAGCTCAGCTGCAATTAAAGCTGGTCACAACAGAGGCCTGATGCTCACCACAAGTGGCCTTTATCTGCAGTGATCAGCAGCAGTCATTATTCCGCTCTGAACTCAGTTGTTTATGCCGAGTTGTGTTTCCTGGAGAGACCACGATGCGTTGGCTCTGCACAGAAGGATGTAAAGTAGAGAGGCACACGCCTTGGGCAGGTGAGTGCAGGAAACTTCATGGAGCAGCAAGTCCTCAGGGAGAAACAGCATAGAAAAATCCCCAGACTGATGCCTTAGATTGGAATTTAAGCAACTGTAGCTGTTTATCTGAAGAAAATTGTGTAGATACACAAACAGCTCCACAAGGAGAAAAGGCAGGTACCCCACAAGCTGTGTAAGCCAGAGGGAACAGGCACAGCCCAAACCCACAGCTGCAGGCTGAGCCAGACCAACTGAAATGAGAAAATAGGCGTTAATTTTTTAAAGAATAAAGTTGATTAGCTGCTGGAACAAATTACTGGGGAAAGGAAAATCTTCCCATATGATGGTGTTTTCTATTCAAGATAAGATGCCTTTCCTCAAACGGGCTTCAGCCAAGCATGTGTTCTCGGGTTCAGCAGAGCAAGGATGGGGTAAAAGGTAGTGATCTCTGTGAAGAGGTGACTGTGGCCCCACCTAGATTTTAGGAAATGACTCAAAGACTGTACTCTCGATGTGTATTTCTACATCCTTCCTGGATGGTGCTGCTCTGGATTGTCCCCTTCTGAATAGCAGCTGGGCAAGGGCAGCCAGGGAATTACTCAGACCCAGCCTGTCTGATGGGTTTTTTTTTTTGCCCTGTCCTGCCAGCCAAGGTGGAGTGTTTGTGCACGTGAGACTGGTGGTATTGGCCTGTGTTGGGTCTCTCTGTATTTGTCACTCCAGGTGGACATGAGGCTGCTGGAAGCCCGACTGAAGGGAGGTGACCCCAGGCAGCATCACCCAGTTGCTGCAGGGGCTCCTTCCCAGTGGATTGTGCT